ACTCAAGTTCTCCTCAGTTATTCCTGTTCTTCCTTCATAATAATGCCCATTTCCCCTTCTCTTTGCCCCTATAAAATTCAACCTCCTATCCTCTTTACCTCTCACTCAACACTTCTTTCCTTTGCCCCTGATGACCCCAAGTAGCATCTCTCATAGAAAATAGGAAATTGTAAGCCCTGGACTGTTTAATTCCTTTTCAAAGGCAGACAGTGGAGAGGAGCTCAAAGGGATTACTCTTCTAGTTCTTGGGTTCGGACAAGGTGAAAACCAAGGAGCAGGCATGCAGGTATCTCTGGGAAGAATGATACTGATTGCCCTCAAAGCAAAATCCCAGCTCCTGTGTCTCCCCTGCCTCATGAAATGACCTCTACAGAACAAGCCTGCACTCTAATGACCACTTCTCTATCAGTGTTTAGAAGCAGGAACTATAAGCTTTTGTGGTCAGTGTGACATCACCCCTCCCACTAACCAAGACTTTATAATTCAACCACAAAGCTTGAAAGAGAGACACACAGATACAAAGAAAGACAGAGACTTTATAATGATTAAGAGATGTCAAATGAAAATGAACAACAACAAAAAAATCAGTCCATTTACCAATATTTATAAATATCTGGATATTTGATATGATTTAAAGAAGACATTTGCTCAGTAGTCTGTGTATTTTTGTTTTCATTTGGACGTCTAAAAGAATTGTAATCTCTCTCTCTCTGTCTCTCTGTCTCTCTCACTCTCTCTCTTCCTATCTTTCTCTCTCTGTCTGTCTCACTCTGTCTTTCCCCGTCTCTGTTTGTCTGTCTTTCTCCTTTCCACTCTCCCCTCTCATTCTTTCCCTGCCTGTCTCCATAAGTTCAAAATGCCCAGATAAAAAATAAAAATCCTCCCAAATGCTTTCAGGAATTTGAAAGAGTGACATTTTATCATCAGGAAACATTGACTTAATTATTCACTTCATCTGGAAATTTTGCTATTGGAGAGAGATAGAGGAGGAGAAAGAATTTGAAGGGCTGTACATTCAAAGGGACTGTTGCCAGCACATTAAAAGTAGCTTTCCATGAATTCCACAACCTCCGTGCTAATCTTGTAGGGCAGCTGGGAGGGCTGGCCCAACGTCTCTCAATGCCATATTGTGCCGATGGAGATTTCTATCTGGGAACCTCTGCCTCATGAGGTGGGGAATGAGAGATTTTTTTCTTTCCTAGTGAGGAAAAGATGATAGTGGAGTTCATAGAGTAATAGAAATCAGACAAGACACAGAAATGAGGCACAGGGAGAGAAACAGAGAGCAAATGAAAAGTATAACTATATATATATATACATACATATGTATATTTTAACAAAGAGGGATCAATGTAGTTGAAAGAGATAAAGAGGGATGGCAGGGGTAGACAGAACATGAAAGAGACAAAGACAGAGAGACAGACAGAGGCAGACAGAGACAGAGAGATTTTATAATTCCAAACCTCTAGATAAATGAAAAATGAAAAAGCAGTTATATGGAATTTGCAATCATCAGATCATAAAACAGATGATCATGATTCAGAAAAGGTCATGATGTATCTTCAGAAAGGTCCATGGTGTATATTTTGAAATCCTTGAATAATTAGACATTTCTCCACGGACCTAGATCTTTGGTACTATGGACACACTGCTCGAGGCAGGGAAAGATGGAAGGAAAAGGTTCATTTTGGGGAAGGGGAATTCCTAAATTAAACCCGGTTGTAAAGGCACAGCTGCCCCAGGAGTTGTGCTGCTGTGGGAAAGCCCCCTCCCTGGGTTCTGACCTACCCTTTGAGCCACAGGTAGCAGGAAGCACCTGCCCCACCTCTTTGCTTTTTCCTCTTTCCCTTCAGGGGGCCTGGGTCTGCTCCCCTCCCTCTCCTCCCACTCCCAACACACAAATCCTGAAGCAGGTTTTCCATATGCTGCAGGCCCTCCAGAGAGAGGAAGTTCACAGCTACACTTGGCAGCTGTTGGGTTTTGAAAGCTTCCCCTACCCCCCACCTTTTTTTCACATTGACCTTTTCTGTTGCTTCAGCACACTTTCTTTAAAAAAAGAAAAAAAAAGTATTTTTTCCCAGAACAGATGAAACATGAGGAGTATGTCAAAGTATTTGACAAGCTTTTATAGGTTGATTATTAATTTTTGTTTTGTCTTTTTTCCTCCTCAACAAAGAGGGAGAAATGGAATTCCGATTTGGAAAGGCATGAGAAACAGATGTAAATGTGCGTCAGATGGACCAGGCATGCTTCAAAAATCCCTCCCTTGGAAGAGCCCAGTTAGAAGGGCTCCCAGTATTGGCAGCAGCCTGGAATTGCCCCCTGGAAAAATAGTTATGAAAGTGTCTATCCTGAAGAAACCAACTAAAAAGTCATTCTTTTTTTTTCTTTTGAAGCTTTTTTGTTTGTTTGTTTTTGGTGAAATTCCAGAGGGCTCTGATTGAAAGGGACTTTGGGGAATCATTGCATCCACTCTTTCTTCTAAGCAAGGTTTCACCTAAAACTATCCTGTAAAAGCTATGGGCCAAGAAACACAAATGTCTCTTGTTCCCCTCCCCCTTCTAACCCTGTGAAATCCTTAGTTCTTTCTCATTCCCTCCTAGTAAAAGGCAGTGGAAGTGGGCAAAGATTAGAAGAGAGAATCATGTAAGACTGACCTTCAATGACCTTCAAAGACATTGATGATAACATTCAGACTGATAATAGCTTAAGGTTAGATTGACCCAGCAGGGCTGCTCTATGGACTGTAACATGTGGGCTTTAGGGGATAGAGGTGAAGGCTCTGCCATTTCAGAGGAGCACTTTCAAGCCAAGCTCATGTGGGAAACAAAAGATGACCCTTACTTCCCAGGGGGGGATACAGCATCGGCATCATTGACTACAGCAGGGCACTAGATGAAAGTATAGCTAACAAACCCACTCTTAGAATGGGAGAGGATTGACAAAGACAGGATCTCCTTCTACTCTGCCTTCCTTCCTCCCACACAGTCACCTGGGTCCCTTTGTGGCAGAAGACATAATACTAAGAATCCTTCATTTTCCCTGGAGCTAGTACCCTCCCTCTCACACTACTTTGCATTTCAGTACTTTGTATATGTTTTATGCTGCATAAATCATTTATTTATTTATTTTTATTATTATTATTTATATATTTATTTTTTATTCTTGTCTCCCCCATCAGAATGTAAACTCCTTATGAGTAGAGATTGTTGGATCTTACTATGTGCCACAGGGCCTGGCACATAGTAGTTTCTAAATAAGGTTTGATTGATTGATGGACAGATGTAGGAAGGTCTGAGGCAAAGGCAAGTGATCCTAGTTGAAGTTACTGGCATTCAGCCTGACAGGAATAGGAGGCCCCCTATGTGGTGCAGTTCAATGAGCTCCTGGAGCTCACTGAAGGTGGAGAGGAAAGGAATAAGCATTTATTAAGGGCTTACTGGATACCAAGCACTGTACTGAGTGCTTTTCAAATATTATTTCATTTGATCATTGATCTGATGAGTCAGATCATCACTTTAGGAAAAAATCACCTTGACAGCTGAATGGAAGATGGATTGGAGTGGGGAGTGACATGAGGCAGTTAGAATGCTGTTTCCATAGTTCATAAGTACAAGGCACTGTGTCAAGTGCTGGGGATAGAAGGACAAAAAATGATACAGCCCTTGCCCTCTAGAAGCTTATATTCTCAGTACTTCTTGTTGCTCTTGCTTTCCAGAGGGCTCTGACCTGTAGCACTTCGATTGCTGTTATTGTTATTGTTGTTGTTGTTGTTTTGTCTAGCCTACCTTCCGGTCCCAAATTCAACTTACCCCTCTACATCCTCTTTAAGTCTCTGGAAGACCAAGGTTGCTCCTTGTTTGAGCCACAGTCCTCCCTCTATTGGCTTCTAGTCAAATCTACTCTCATCTTGAGCAATGTCCTTACCACTGTAGGAGTAAGGATTCCTGATCAAATTTCCCCTCTATCATCTCTCTGGCTAGGGATATGGTTCTTGTTTCTAACCTCTTTCCTCTGGATTTTGCCATTCAGTTTGAGAATATATGCCAATAAACATACTATCAAGTCCCATACATTGTTAGTCATAACTGTTTGAAGGTATGTATGTGACTCAGGGGTAGAGCTAGGTGCAAGGGCTTGGGGTGATTCCCCTTCCTAAGGGTGATGAGTGAACACAGTAAAATCTCCATGCTCCCTAGAGAGATGAACAGGAAAGGAATGGTCTGCATCCTTGATGAACCCCTGATTCTGAAAATATGCTTTCTGGTGACCTGAGAAGGGGTCAGCATGCACAGGGCACATCAGTCAAAAGCATTTAAGGACATGCTGAGAAAATATGATACTGCGGAAGAGCCCTTGGAAAGAGCAGTGACCAGCAGAAAACCCTGGCACTTGACTCTCAGGGATGAGGTGGGGCAACCTGAGGCTGCTCTGGAAACAGGAGGAAGCCATACTGGGCAGAGGAACAAGAACAAACATTACACCCAATGTGCATAAGGCAGGAAAATTATTAGGCAGAATGGTGGTGAGCTGAACCACCAGACCTAGTAACTTCTAAGTGAGGAAAGAAATACCACCTGGAAAATTATACTTGAAGGCAAATATTCTCTGGGGAGCATTTTGTAGCCCACATTTCCTCACATCCTATTCCTCTGCCCCAAAGCCTCCTCCTTCCTCCTACTGCTCAAGGAAAGCAGTGTGGTATCATGGAAAACAGCCAGGTCTGGGCATGGAGTTCTTGTCCCAGTTCTTGAGCTGTGTGAACTCTGGACTTCAGTTTTCTCATCTTTAAAATGAGGTTAGCAATACTGTTCTGATTATCATAGAAGATGATTGTGAGGAGCAGACAAACATCTGGGAACCATAGCATGAAAGTTCTTGTCGCAGTTCTTTAGCTATGTGACCCAGTTTTCTCACCTTTAAAAATGGGGTCAGTGATTGAGTCTGCAGCGTCCGTGGGAGGAGCAGCGGAGACAGAGGCAGCAACCGCGGAGGAAGCGACCTCAGTCCAGGAGCCACCATGTCTGAAGACATCAAAACCAAGATCCGAAACTACCGCACGGGGCCCTTTAACAGCCGCTTCCCCAACCAGAACCAGACCAGTAACTGCTGGCAGAACTACCTGGATTTTCACCGTTGTGAGAAGGCCATGAACGAGAGAGGTGGTGATGTGGTTGCCAGTGGTAGAAACGTGTCTACAAGTCCCTTTGTCCACTGTCCTTGGTGAATACTTGGGATGATCACAGAGCAGAAGACACCTTCCCTGGGAAGATCTGAGCTGCCTCCTCTTCCTCTCTTACCCCACCTCGATGCCTGGGGCTGGATCCCTGAATCCTGTTAAAATAAACTGTTCTGGGATTGAAAAAAAAATGGGGTCAGTAACATGTGTTCTGCTTATCACATAAGGATGTTGCAAATATCAAAAAAGTAGTGGAGAGATCACATGAAAGTCTTGGGGATTTGGGGGTTGAAATGTTACTAGAATCCATGCTATAGAATAACTAGGCTGGATTGGGATTTTACTACAAATATTTGTTACAAGAGCCTACTATCCTATTTTCATCAGCTCTCAGTACAGAAATAACCCTAATCTTTGGCTCTTCCTTCCTTTGTCTCTTATATACAATCATTCACCAAGATTTTTTGATTCTTCTTTCACAATACTTCTTAGATTCTTGTGTTCTTCCCTATGGATACCAAGGTATAGTAGAAATGATACTTGGATTTTATAGATGGTCAATGACCAATTTTGAAAATCACATAGGAAATCAGGATTTAAGACCAAGACATGCCAGACTAATTTTATTTTTTTGTTGTTGTTTTTGATAGAGTTACTAAATTATTAAATCGGGGAAAAGCATTTTTTTAAGTGCCTACTACATGCTTGGCATTTTGCAAGTAGTATCACATTTGATCCTCATAACAACCCTGAGAGATAGGAGCTATTATTATATCTATTTTACAGTTGAAGAAACTGAGGCAGATAGAAATTAAGTGACTTGCCCAGGGTCACATAGCTAGTAAGTGTCTGAGGCTATATTTGAACTCAAATCTTCCTGATTCCATGCTCAGCACTATTCACTGCACCACTTAGCTGCCTCTATATAGTGTTTTAAAATAGACAAAGGAATGCTGTAAATAGTGTTTACCTGGATTTTTTTTTTTAGTAATACATTGGATGAATTATCACACATTATTCACGTGAAAACTATGGAGAGGTATAGACTAAGTAGCAGAATAATGAGATGGAGCCAGATGGTCAAATGGCCAGTTATAAAGACTAGTTACTTATCATTGGATGTCATCTTGGAAGGAGATTTCCATTGGAGTTAGTGCCATTAGAGGAAGAAGGATATTCATAAATTGGAAAGCCTGCAGAGTAGTACAGTCAGAGTAGTGAAGGATCTCAAGTTCATGTCCAGTGAAGATTGGTTGAAGGAACTGGTGATGTTGAATCTTTAGAACAGAAGCAGTCTATTCTAAAGACATGATCATTGTCTTCTAGCACTTGTAAGATAATCAAAGAAGAGATGTTGGATTTATTCTGTTTGGTCCAAGGGTCAGAACTAAGTACAGGTGAAAATTGCAGAGTCGAATTTAGATTTGATTTCAGGAAAGTCTTTTTAATAGAGCTATATGTATAATAGTGAAATGAGCATCTTCAGGAGGTAGTGAGCACCCATTTTCTCACTGTAGATCTTTAAGCAAAGACTACATGACTATTTGTCAGAGGGGCAAGTCATTTAACCTCCACGTTCTGTTGTTGAATCATTTCAGTCATGTTTGATTCTTCATGACTCCATTTGGGGTTTTCTTGCAAAGATACTGGAGTGGTTTGCCATTTCCTTCTCCAGCTCATTTTACAGATGAGGACACTGAAGCAAACAGGGCTAAGTAACTTGCCCAGGGTCATATAACAGTAAGTATCTGAGGTCAGATTTGAACTCAGAAAAATACATCTTCCTGATTCCAAGCCCAGCCCTCTATCCACTGTGCCACCTAGCTGCCTCTCCATGTTCTGTAGTCAGAATCTTTTCCTCAGTATAACTTAGTATAACTTAGACTAGATATCCATGAAAGTCCCTTCCAATTCTGAATTTCTGTGATTTTACAATTCTGCAACCCAGATAGGGGTTCTGATTTGACTACTTACTTCTTAGGTGAACAAGGCTCTGTTACTTTCCCTCTCACCTCCTTTCTCTGACCTCAGTTTCCATATCTGAGATGCAAGGTTTGGACTTAGGGTCCCTTTCAGCTCTAAATAATACAAATATATATATACACATAAATGCATATACATACACACATGTGTGTGATTATATATATGTATATATATACACACATACATATATATGTAACATTGGGAAGTCACACCAACCTAAGCCTCAGTTTCCCCATCTGCAAAATTGAAGTAGGGGAGGGGAGATAACCAGTGTTGTTCCTTCTAGCTCTTGTTCTATGACCAATCATCTAGTTCATCTTCTTGCCTATAATTTCTCAAAACTCCAATCTATGTACATGGCCACTGGAATGATCTTTCCGACATGTTGCTATTTCTTGCCTTTCTTTGTTTCCCCAGTGCTTAGCACAGTGCCCAGGTGGGCACTTAATAAATGCTGGATGATTGACTTCCATCATGTTACTCAAAAGCCGGCAAAGCCTCCCTAGTGTATATTGCAACAAGTCCCAAATTCCCTTCTCGTTTTCCATAATCCATTCCAACACAACCTGTTCCATTTTATTTCCCAACTCCCTCCCTTCAACATAATACCTGCTACAGGCAGGCAGCTTTCTTCACTGCCTCTCTCATACACCATGCTCATTCCCATCTTTGCTAACACTCTTCTCCCTTCTCAGAATACCTTCTCTTCTTTCCTCCACCTACTCACATTCTATCAATCATTCAAGACCTAACTCAAGTGCTATATTATTTTTAGAGCTTTCTTTGACTATTTCACCCTGTATCAATCTTTACTTTCTTTGGAATTTTCCCAAGTAGAAAGCATGGTTCTTTTCCTCAAGAAGCTTACAGTCTGAGAGAGGAAGCAAGGCTAGCATTTAGAAAAATAAATAATAATTGGAAAACATATGATGAAATGCCCAAGTGAGTGCCATGGCAATGAATGCTGTAAGTGATCAGAAAAAGAAGAGCTCACTGTGGGATGGGGAGTAATGGACAACTTAATTTTTTTGTAATAAAAATGACAATGAGAAATAGACATACAATCTTTATGACCATTTTTTAAAAAAACCAAGTAATCCTCAAATGATGATACCCAGCAACATGACCATTCAGTCACCCCACGTAAGACTCTCAAAACAAGATCATTATAAGATTTGTTTTTAAAGGCATACCCCCAAATATCTCAGTGGCAAGATACATTTCAATAGATAAACAAACCACTATGACATACCATCATGACTAAAAAGTGAGTTATCTTGAAAAACACTGACCTTGCCCTTTGTTTATTAACAGAACCATAAGTCATTTCCTAGACAGCCATTTTACTTTCTACCTCCTTCTGTCTCTTTCTCTAGTGAATCTCCTACCTTAGAGATGTTAAAGAACAGGAAAGACGCGGGGCTTGGTAGATGGGCAATCCTGCCTGATGGCCAGGGATTGGATAGCATGACCTTTGCTTGAAGTACTTTTTTATTATATCCCATGGAGGCTCCACATTTGAAGGACCAAACATTGCACTTCCAAATTATGCTATAGTTTGAGAATCCAGCTCCTACCACCGTATTTAGCTGATGAAAACCAATCACACTATCTCATAACATAATAGCAGTCCCATTTCTGCTTTCATTTAGATTGCCATGGATTTCCTTTTATTTCACAGCCTGTCCTAATGCTTTCAGCCAGCTCTATGGGCATAATGGAAGCTTATTGAGCAATTGTAGGTTGACTTAGAATTAAAAAGGTCTTCAAATGATTTAGTATTTCTCAGCCTAAATTACATAGCTTCCTCTCTAGGGATACATGACATTTTGTCTCCTGTCTTTGTGTCTTTGGTGATCCCTCATGTCTCAGATGCACTCTCTCCTCACCTTCAAACTCTCAGCATCTCTAGCTTTCTTCAAAACACTGTCCATTTGCTGTCATCTATACAAGATGATTTTTGATTATCTCTCCTGATAGTTGTACTTTCTCCCTCCAGAAATTACTTTGTAATATTTTGCATATTTTCTTTATTTACTTTTCTATGTGCTTCTTGTATGACTCTAGTAAGAAAAAAGCTTTTTGAGACCATGGACTGGCTGGTTTGTCTTACCTTTGTCTCTGCAGAGCCTAATCCAATTTCTGGCACATTGCAGGTACTTAGTGAGTAATTGTTGAATTGAATTATAAATATCTAAATTCTCTCCTGCCCCTTACTCAACCTGACAGTCTAAGCACAATGGGAATGAATTTCCAGGAAGCAAAGAGCAGGAAGAAGCTAAAGATTGAAGGAGCAAGATTTAAGGAAAGGAGGGTAGGATTTTTGTTTATTTATATACATCAAGAAGGACCATTAATAGTAGAAACTTTGTGGGCCAGTGAAAATTTTCCACACACAGGCAGTTCCAAAACATTCATTTAGATCTCTTCACTCTGAGCAGCAAAGATCTTAACCCATTCCAGAAAACACACACACACACAAAATAAAAAACAAAAAAACCAAAAAAAACCTTTTTGAATATGTCTAGAGAAGAAAATTTCATTGCACCACTCAGTAGCCTAGAATTACAGCACATTAGTCCCCAGCTATCACCCTAGGGTAGTTCCTTTCTTCCTTAATTTTACAGATGGAAAAAAGGAGAAACACCCCCCACACACACTCCCAGGAGAAACAGACTGCTCACCATCACATAGGTATTAGTAGCAGAGCTGAGACTATAACCCATGCCTTCTGACCCACCCCTACACCCCAGACTAGTTTGGTGCTTGATTCCCCACACCAAACTGACTTCCTGTTATGACCTTCCCCATCTTTAAAATAAGATTAGACTAGAGATCTCTAAGACCTCTTTCAGCTTTAGTATTCCAGGATTTGATGAGTCTAAGTCACAGTCTCTCTGAATCTCAACCTTAGTTCAGAACTCTTGACCTTCTGGATAAATTTCCTAGAGTAGGTAAAACAGAATTTTCTTTCATTAAGGGAAGTCAGAAACAAGAAAAAAAAGAGTGCCTAAATTCTCTTCTCCTGGTCCTTCCTTCCTTTGTATGTTCCTTGGGGGGAGAATTCATAAACTCTTATGAGTGATATGAGAAGTTTAGTCTAGTGACAGAAATA